TGAAGCTTGTGCACCTACACAGCACCAGCAATTTTTTTGTCCTATTCGAGAGCCAAAACCTAGCTGTATGGCAATGAACCAACAAAGCAACAATCCCTCTGTTTCAACCTTGTGGAAAATTCCTTCACTGGCAGCTGGGAGAAGTCAGCAATTATGTGAATATTTAATTGCCTTTGAAATAATTTAATTGAATACTATATTATAGTAGCCCTCGGTTCTTTCACTAGAGCTTTTAATGTATTTCTTATACCAAAGGAATGAACTAATATATTACATGTTATATTTCCTCTCTGGTTTTAGCCAAGCGCTATATTGAAACAGATCCTTCTGGCAGAGATAAGGGGACCTCCATTGTCATCGTGAAGCAGGGGCACGAACCCCCGACATTCACAGGCTGGTTCCTGGCGTGGGACTCCAACAAGTGGAAGAACTGATCTATCCAAGGAGGCTCCAGCTTCAAGACAAAGAATGATCAGAGCCCAGCTACTTTCTGGTATTTTTAAGCATGAGCTTATGCAACAATATGATGCACCTTTCCCGAGCTTTGATATCTTTCTGTGGATAATGTAGAAATTCTTAGCACTGGAAAGGACGAATAATAATTGTAAACTTGTCAAATGGGGTGAGTGGGGCTTTTCTTGTAGTAAAGGTGGAAAGTGCTACCAGTGCTTTGTTTAACCTATTGATTCTCCAACAGAAGCTGTAGGTCAGTTTATTTTAGTGGGCTAAAATGGGCTTCAATTTGCCTTCACTTAAAAATCTAAACTAATCTAAACTAATGCCACAGAAATTCCTTTAGGTTAAAGTCAGCATAATATTGTGCAGAATTTGGCCTGATAAAGGACTAATTCTACATCTTTTGCAAGGGTAGGGCTGGACCTGGTTTACTTACTAGGCCAAAGTATTGTCACACCCACTCAGGTAAAATTTCAGATGACGCCTGATCCAGAGGGGGAGCTGTGTCTCGCAGGGTGCAAATAAGGGGTGGGTATTTTGAGAAAGCTGTGCTTAACATGTTTGTCTTGTTAGTACATATATATATATATATGTTTGGAGCTTTGGGCTGAATGGCTGTAAGAATATGAAGTGGACGAAGGGGTTTCTTTTTAGGAACTGTCACGCTCATCATAATGGACTTTCGATTTATCTCTGGGAATCACCTCCAGCTCCAGCAGGTCTTTTTAACCAAAGCTCTTAGACACATTCCTAGAGCACTAGTGCTTTTATGTGGAAGCAGAAGAAGTAACAGCTTCAAAAGTATGTACTCTGTCTTAACCACTTAAGCCATACTTTGTCTCGGTTGCCTTACTTAGCAGTACTCAGTACTTTTCCAGCATGCAGACTGCTCACCTTGTCAGGTTCAGGATGTGTTTCTAAGTACATCAAGCATGAGGAAACCCCTTGTTCCAATAGTGTTTCACATCCTGGGAATCTGGAGTGTGAGTACACACCATAGAATATAGCCTTTTCTCTCAGTTTTTTTGGCTTTTTTTATGCTGGTGAATTTAAGAGTACTGCTATGATTAGTTGCCCTGTAATCTTGTTTCAAACAACAGTTTGTACAGTTTTATACCATGTCAATGTAGCTTATTAATGAAGGCATTTCAAAAGTTTTATTATTCTTGTGAGTTAGGGTGGAAAGTGAAATTTAAGACTTTTTTTTTAATTTTTTTTAACGTGATTGTGATTTTGAATCTGGGTAATGCAAAAGAGTGAATTTAGCCAGAGCTTATAATCAATATCAATGTCAAAACAATTGTGAAGCTAAGAGATTAATTACAGGAGTTAGCTTTGAACATTTGTCTAAATTTCTGCTAATATAACTGGGCTGTATCTGAATTTAATTTCATTTAAAATAAAATTACAAAAAACAGTATTCTATTTGATAAGCTGATCTTCCTCTCTCTGACATTTTGCCGCTTCCACTGATGTCTAGCAAAACTTCCTAAAAATCCCAGTAGGTACCTTCCTTTTAAGATGGACCATGCAATGAGAAGTTATTTGGTTTTACTTTGATGCTATTTTACCCAATGTAGGGTTAACTCTTCCCAACAACTTAAAATATACAAACTTGAGTGAAAATCAAAGAACTGGGTGCTTGTTAGCTTGAAATTTCACCCTTAAGATAAACTACCATTGTGGTTATCAAACTCTTTGGCTTTGTAACTTTCTGCTTGCAAAAATGATTGTCTATAGAAATAACTATTTGATAAACCAGGAGGAAATAGGTGTATGTCTATTTTAAAGGATAGGTCTTGCTTTTTATTTGTGAGAGTGGATAAGATATCCTTCTCCTGCAGAAGGAGCACAAAGACCTTTTCAGTTCCTCAGCTACTGCACTTCATGCAGCCACTGAGCAGCCTGTAATTATCCGATGGTTGTATTCGACACATACATATGATTCTTCTCATTTTTTAAAAATAACAGTTATAGTAGCTTCTTAGCCAAGGATTAGACAAGATTTGCCCTCCTTGTACATAACCATCTTCTGGAACACTGTGGGCTCTGAACTGATGCAGTCTGCCAGCATATTCTGCAGCACTGTGAAAGACTCTTTTCAGTTCACTCACACAAGACAGAGGAGCTTTTGTGGTCTCCTGGTCCGGGCATTTGGGTTTACAATACATTGTACTGGCACATTGGTTATTGATGTTGAGAAGAGCATTGAGAGCTCATAACGGAAGAGTGTCCTCCACTGGGCTTTAAGCACAACAGCTGCTAGCAACATTGTTCTTGGGTTTACTTGCTACAGAGGAAGTTTATTTTTCATACATATATGTGCAGTACACACAAAGATGTATTTCTTTCTCTCTGAAGAAAGAGAGAGAGAGGGAGGGAGGACAGACAGGATGGTCTATGAGTGCTTGGATTATTAAGATTAAGCTGTTTTCAAGAAAATATTTGAGCACATAACATGAATACTTATAGCATTATATGTTTATATATACATATGAATACATACAGCAAATGTATCTGCCTTTTTTTTCAGAATAAATAAAAAAAATGTACAGATGTATAAAGTTCAGTCAAGAATAAGCTATATCTTGCATTATTATCACACAGTAATAGTACATTCTATTTGTAATGGCAAAATTAGACCCTGAGTTAGCAGATTCATTATCCTACCGAACAGCAAGCATTCATATGTTCTATTGGTTGTAAATATAGCATCATTTTTCCTCTTTGTTTTATAGAATTTCATTGCAGCACAAAAATACTAGGAATCCTTGGAGCCAACAAGACATCATAATACTACATATTGGTAGTTTACATAAAATAGCATAATCTTAGACTGTAACTACAGATTGTGCACAGGAGAGGAGCCAGCCTCTGGAATCACTGCTTTAATGTCCATTTTGACCACAGTACATAGTACTATCTAGCATTAGGTCTCCTACAAATGATTATGTTAAATGCAGCTAAATTCAATGTGCTATGTTTCTTTGGGAAATGTATCAGGAAACCAAGCAGTGAGGCTGGAACAATCTGAACAGTATCCCACTACAAGGCCCAGAGACAAGCACATTTCCTTTAGCAGCAATAATGCTTTGGTTATTCTAACAAAGCCTCTTGACCAGTGATAGAAAAGCACAGCTCTCCCTGCTGTTCTTTAACAGATTTCACAGAGGTGGCTCATAGGGTGATTTCACAGCAGTTGGCAATATTAACATCAAGGCTGAATACAATCAGGTGATCTTCCATCATTAACCTGACAGTTCACCATGCTTTGTGTTGCCCGATAGCCTTCCTACAGAAGAATCAGCTACAGCAGCAATCCTGATTAAAACAGACCATTGCTAGGAGGAACCTAAGGCAAATTGCCCTCTGGGCTTAGATTTTTACAGAGGTGGCTCAGAAGGGTCACAGGTCTCCTGGAACAGGTAGGCAGTGCTGCTGAGTCCCCATTTAACCAGCTGAGTGGGGCTATAAGTATCTGTTGGTGCCAGAGATTGCTGTCCTTACCACCACTAACCAGTTGCTCCCCTACCAGATTTGGGCAAGAATGAGCTGTTGTAGCAGGCAGAAGACACAGGAGTGGCGGTGAATGTCTTGTCAACAAGGACAACAGGCAAGAAGCCCACTGACAATCCCCTACTTTCTTGCTAGATAGTCCCACTCAACAGTAGGTATCTTGCACACCTGCTGCTGCCAGACTCTGCCCGGGCCTGGCATGTGCAGATGCACTCCAACAGCCACCAACTACATATCCCATATGTGAATTTCCAAAGCCCAGAGTGATCTTTCTTAAGACTCTGTGAGGAAAGGTGATGGAAATTTGTCCTGTACTTAAGCAGCAAACAAGGACTCTGGTAACCTGCATTTCCTGTGGTCTGTGTGCCCTTGTGTAACCTGAAGTAAATCACTGAATTTCAGTGCTCCTGTTCTCCACCTATTAAATGAGGATTTCTTTCGTCCATTCCCTGTTTATTTAAGCTGTGCTGTCTTATACCCTGTGTTTGTACAATGCCTGACCTAGTGAAGTCACTTCTCAACACTGTCATCCTGCAGGTACTGCTCATAATGCAGACAGCTGCCAGGGCTATTAGTGCCAAGCCGCACAGACTTGCTAAGGGCAAGATGAGACAATGAGACAAGAGCGATGACTTAAAGACTTACTGAAACATGGGTGCAGCTCCACCAGCAGTGACACTGGAGCAGCAGAGAAAGAGCAGGAGCCAGCTCAGCTGAGAACTAAAGCTTTTATGGTATAACATGACATGAGCAAAAATACACACGCTCCCTCAGTAGTGAAGTTTGGGGTTGCTTTGTCAAGAGCACTCCATAAGTTGCAATTGTAGGTGCATCTGCATCAGGTCCAAAAGAATTCCTCTCCAAATCTGGAGCAGCTGCTCTGGGCATAGTAATTATGGGGGAAAGACAAGGCTCTGCTGTGTTTACAACAGAGCAGCAAAATTCTCAGGTGCCTCTTTACTTTGACCTGGAGAGTGAGAACATCTGCTTTTAAAAGGTATGTCAAGTTGTCTGATCTCTTTGCTGCTGCTATTGTTAAAGACACAAGGTCTCTCTGCAGTACAGCTCATTTTGTTTCTAGCAAGTGGTATTTTCTGGGTGCCTCAAGGACTGTGGCTGTTGGCAATTTATTGGATCTTTCTTCTTTCATTGCTGAATTATACTGGGTAACAGATATCCACTAACATGGCTTCAATCAGGAGACTGGGTGTGAGAGGTCCTGTCCACTGTGAAGTATACGAACTACAAGGACTAAAAAGTACCTGCTGTCTACAGATAGAAGGATGAAGATAACTACTGAATATCTTGTTCAGTTTGGGGCTTTGGTTTTAAATTTTAATGGTATCTCCACTCTCGAAATGTCTGTTGGCTGCTGGTTTCACATAAAAGAAAGAAATTTATAGTTCTATAACAGCAAAATCTTGGAGTTAGGGACTCTGTAGTGGCTGCAAATGGCTATCGTTTTATCTCAACTCTGAATTATTGCAGTTCTGAAAAAACACAAAGATGTATATGTTTTATGTGCTAGACTGCTGGGCCTTCAATCAATCCTCAGCAAGGAATCAAAGATCAGTGATTTGAAG